AGTGTATTATTTGTTGAAACTGTACTTTCGATTTGATTTGAAACTGTCTCATTGCTATATGTTTATCAATAAAACTTTGAAAAGAAAAAAAAAATCCCCTCTTTATTCACTGCTGTCTTGGTTCGCTAGACAGCCAGCCTCCTTGATGCCCCTAATAAATCTTCTACTCACATCAGAATACCTGGTCTGGTCCATTGTGTGGGTTCGTACTTAACATTTAGCATTACCCTTTATACAGAAACCTTGCTGGGATGTTACTTCATTTTGTTTCCCATTTTTTCCCAGATGTTCACCTAGTGTTGCCAAGTATTTTTCTCTGAAAAAACACCTAGTTGCTGATGAAACTTTTTGGGTGTAATGTGTCATCATAAAGTTGTTCTCTATGTGGAACTAAAAAATAGATTTGGTTTTCTTTCTAACAAGTTCTTTTCAGTCTTCCCAACTATTGCAGTTGCTAGTCTTTCATTTCTGTCAGAGGTGCTTTATGTCCATGTTTAGAGCCCTCAGGTAAAGTGGGTAGATGTCTCACAGGATATCAGCACATCCCTTCAATTTCCTTTGGGAGGCTTCCCTGAGCAATGCTAAGTTGACTTCAGGGTTTTCTGGAATATTTCCTGCACTGGAATCTACCTAGGGATGAGAACTACCATTCCACACAAGGGTGCTACTCAGCTTCTTGGAAAATTCCTACTGTTCTTCATGGAGGACTGCTCTACCATATTTCCCTGAAGATAAGACCTAACCAGAAAATAAGCCCTGACATGATTTGTCAGGATACTCATAAACTGGACCCTGAAAATAAGCTCCCATTAAGATCATTAGTTAGATTGATGTGGTTAGAACATCTGTTGCAACACATGATAGAGGTACTGAATTATAAAATGTTAATATGTAATTCAATATAAATAAGTAATATTGTTGACATTAACACTTAAAATAAATGATAATATAAGTTATAAGTAAGTATTTGTAAGTGCCCAAGCAGGTGCCTTTGCATGAGAGGCAAATACCTATGTAAACAGCTTCACTTTAGACTTAATGACTGGCCAGACTACAGACACACGTGGTAACTAATTGTTAGGGCTGTGTGCAGCATGGAGCTTCATAATTCAATATGTCATGTCCTGTAGTGGGCAAAATTAACACAAGTGTGAAATGAAGAAACATTTTCTGAAATCTGATGCCTGCAATTCTTTGTTTTTGTGTGGACTGTCATTCCTGCCATCCCTGTTGTTGCCACTCCTATCTCGTGAGTCTTCAGTGAACCTTGCTTTAATGGAAACTCTGTGAAGCTGGCCTGTAAAAAGTTGCAATCTGGGTGAAGAATTCATGGGCCAAAATCACTAACTCTGTGTTGCACTTGAGCAGACACATGGACAAGGAGTGCTTGGATAGGGAGAGCTCTATTGCCGGACAGGACAGGCTGGGGCCAAAGGCTCTGTAGGAAATGGAGTGGAAAGACATTCAGTCCGGAATTTGGGATTTGGAGAATTATGATGTTCCAGAAGAAGAGGATATGACTATACCTGAATAAACATCATTTTGTGCATGAATAAATGTGTATTGTTGTACATATAAAAAGCAAGAAATCCCCTGAAAGTAAGCCTTATTGTGTTTTCTGCAGCAAAACTTAATATGAGACCCAGTCTTCTTTTGGGGGAAACAGTACATGTCAACTCATCCACCTGTGCACCTTCTCTCCCTCACATCTTCCTCTCCTCAGCGTCCTCTTCTTTTCCAGCTTTTCTCATCTTCTGGTGATGCAATGCTGAGCACTAATTCTCCGTACTTCTGTGCTCTCGCTTCTCCTGATGCATCTGTAGGCTGCTCCTGGAACCTGTGAGGAGGCTGCACCCAGAAGCAAGAACTCCAAGTTCCAGCAGATATCATCACATGCTTCCACCTGTGGCCAACAGAGCCAGGCTGCAAGGGGTCTTTAGCCATAGTGACAAGACCTCCAGCTTCCATCCCTGAACTCTTGTCCCGGCCAGCACTCTCGACCTTAGCGCTGTGCAGCAGTGGCAGGCTTGTGCAGCAAGCCTCAGTTCCTTCTCTTTGATAGGGCTGTGCGAGGCTCTGCAGAAGGGGGCAAAGCTCCATCAGAAAAGCTCCCTCATTCCCACCAGTCTGGGACATGTTTCTGAGGATCACCTTCACTTTACACTTTTATACCAGACAGCACTGTGATGGCTTTAGGGATTTTGATGCAGAGCCTTTGGGATCATTAATCAAGTGAGTGGCTAAAGATTGAACACCTGTGCTATTCCTTGTTTTATGAGGCATGTTCATAGCCTGTTCCCATACTGTTGGGAGCATCTATGGCACTAGAAGGTCCTTCATCTCCAAGTTCTGCGTTGCTGTGGCAGGAAGGAGTTCAGAACATCATCTTACGTTTGGGTGACTTTAGAACACGATTGGAATAGCTGTTGACTGTCCCAGCAACATCCTGTGGGTTCCATCATTGCACTCAAAGATATCATGGCTGTAGTCATAGGGCTCTTTCTTAACATGACATGCGTGAAATTCTACAGTACTATTTATATCCACTTTGTTGTACTCATTTTTATGCTTATATTTTCATAACAAATACACTGAAGGTAGAAAGTCTCTCTTGTGGTACACTCTGGGAGATGGAGACAATAGGGTTCTAAATTTGAGCTCAGCCAGTGCAAATTAGCAAGACTCTGTTTCAAAATTAAAGAAATATATCAATCAAAAGAATTGGGATGTAGCTCGGTGCCAAGGTCCGGGGTTCAATTTCCACAACCTCAGAAAAGAAAAACAATGTTTATGACAACTCTTTAAATGCAGAATTTCAAAGAACTCAAGCAATTGGGTGGACTGATAAGATTCTTAATTGTCAATAGATCGAGGCCTTGCAAATGCCTCCTAAGTTCTCAAACCAAGACTGACAGTGTGACTATTGCAGAACAGTTCTCTCACTGTGGGGGGAAAATGACTTAGTCTGAGTGACAGAGATCAATTTTTACTATTATGCTTAGTCTCTTCCAAGAGACAGAGCACACACACAGGTACACACACACACACACACACACACACACACACACACAGAAATAGATTAATACATGAGAGGGGCTTCCTAGTGAAACTGGAATTGTGATACTGAATTGTGGGGTTACTGTGGGTAACCCCACAGTGGCCCATCTGCAGCTGGAGACCCACGGGTGCCAGTAGCTCTGCTCAGGTCCAAAGGCCTAAGCAAGAGGAAGGCGGGTGGTATGATTCTGAGTCTAAGGCAGAAGGCCTGACATCCCCCGGGGTACTACTGATATAATTCCTGGAGCCAAAGACTCGACCCCGGAGTCCTGCTATACAAATCTGGAGGAGAAGACAGGCTCCAGCGGGAGAGAGAGAAGAGAAAATTCATGGTTCCTCTGCCTGCTTATTTGGTTTATGTCCACAGCCAATTTGGTGGTGCTTGCTTACAGTGAAAGTGTCTTCCACAATCATGGAGACACCTCACAATAACACTTCCCCAGCCCTTTGAGTCTCTTAATTCAGTCAATCTGACTCCTACAGTTAACCATCACAGCCATGAACAGCACCTGCTCACCACTGGGTTTAGCGGGTTGTCATTTTAAGATCTCCACCTTGGATTTGTAGTGATTACTTGCTAAGATTGACTGAAGCTAGAAATTGGTCCTAGGTGTGGAGGCAAGACAAGGGCACAGTGCCTAAAGCAGTCAAGCTACCTCGGTTGTTTTTCTTTTTCTTTCTTTCTTTCTTTCTTTCTTTCTTTCTTTCTTTCTTTCTTTCTTTCTTTTCTTTTCTTTTCTTTTTCTTTCCTTTTTTTTTTTTTGGAACTGGGGATTGAACTCAGGCCCCTGCGCTTGCCAGGCAAGCACTTATTCTACTGAGCCATCTCCCTGGCCCCAAGCTACCTCAGTCTTGAGAAAAACACCTTGCCTGCACAATTTCAGTCATTAGTCCATAGGCAACCTTGTGTCTTGTGGTACTAACTTTGCAAGGTATAAATAAATGTCTCTACTGTTATTGCTCAGGTTATTTACCCATCAGGTAAAGAGGCCTTCACTTGTCTCTTGTCTACCTTTTCCTTATTCCTGCTGCCATTCCTCCTGGGGTATCAATGAGTCCCTACAATTACATGGCTGTAGGCACTCTGAGAAGGAGAGGTGGGTGGTCCAGGCTAATCAGATTCTATTGTTAGGCAGCGGTGTTGTTTATATAGGAGACTGGCTGCACTGGCTCAGTTGTCAGAAAACTCCTTACCACCAAATCCCACCACGCTTGTAAATTGCTGGGTATAGTGTGTGCATTTTATTTTATTTTTTATTTATTTATTTATTTTTTGGTTTAGACAGGATCTCATTAAATTGCACAGGTGGAATATGAATTTGTAATTTCTGGCTCAGGCTACAGAAATCTGAAACTTCAGGCATGAACCATTTCCAATTTGTGTCTCTGACTTTTTAACTAACCAGAATTGATTTCTGCTATTTCAAATCAAAGGGAAATTAACTGCAGTAACATTAGCTGTAAGATTCTTTTGTTGTTGCTTTTTTTTTATTTTTAGCGATTTGAAATACTGCTCCTCGTGGATGCTTTGTAAAATTTGATTTCCTCCAGGAAATTTAGCCTTGATTGCTTTTGATGCTAATTTTTCAGTGGTTTAATAAAAAGCAGTTATTCCTTTAGCTAAATGGGATTAATTTGGCCACTTCAAATACATTACATTGTAATATCCAAATTGACTAGAGCTAAAGTCTTCCTGGAAATGTGAAGCTGGAAGGGTTACAACTGGGGGAAGACATTTACTGAAAAAAAAAAAA